GTGTTCAGCTTCGTAGTCTCGGAATGTGAAGCTCGTGCATGAGAACAGGGCCTTTTATGACTGACCCTCACTATCGTCTCCATTCAGCTTCACATTGATCGAGACCATGGAACTCAACACTTCTCAAGGCTGAAAGACTGACCCCTTTAAAAAATACTTTCTTTAAGGCTGAAGGACTCATCACTTCGTCTTTACCTTTGCACTGCTTCTCCTGTTTCCATTATTTAGTTTTCTCTCAGTTCGACTGAAGAAAATTTACAACAGTCGAAACGTTTCGACAATAAAGATACCCAACTGTTACATACGTGTCTTCCTTTGTAATTGTAGGTATTGCATTCCATTAATATTATGATATACATAAACCACAGCACTAACATGTAGCTCCCACATCAGAGAGACGGAGAATGTTCAGAGAGTCTCGGCATGGTTAGTGCCAGAACTAAGAAACAAAGGCTACTAGTTCTACTAACTAGGAAAGTGGAGGAAAACAATAACAAAAATAACGAAATAATAGGGCATAATAGCGACTGCAGAGACCAAGCAATTAAGGATTATAACTGATGTCCTATTAAATAGTGGATAATGAAGTGTTGGAAGCTGAAGTAAAGGAAAATGAGGAAAAAAGTTACATTACTGATAAGTTTGACAATCTTTAGGAGATAAAGAGAGACCTGAAATTTGTAGTCAGTCATATACAACTTTCCACCAAGCAGCAGGAGACCTAAATTAGAGCATAGCCTAAAAAATAATAATAATGAGTGTAGCTGGAAGGACACTATTAGTAGCAAACATCATAACCTACCAAAAATACAACTTCACCCAGAGAATAATATTGTCATAATCATAATCATAATTAAGCGCTAAACCCATAAAGGTCTAGAGAGTAATAGCCTGGGAAAATAGAAACCAAACTGGGATCCACAAATGTAAAAGGCAAATTTCACTTAGTTTAAAAAAACAGCATTCTTAACCATGTTAAATAATCCACTATATTGAAACTGGAGGTATATCAACAGCCTCAGACGCGACCCTCACCATCAGAGAATCAAACATGGAGGGTCTAAAAAAGTGCCTATAAGAGGAAATAACCAAAATGTACTAACAAAGATGGGATCATGAGCTAGTGCTAAGAATGTGACAAAGAGACCTGTGTACAGTGATGATACCTATAACAGGCTATAAAATGGCACATTATATATGTGGCATAATAATTATTACAATCAAGGGGGAAGCGCTAAACCTGTAGGATTATACAGCGCCTGTGGGGGAGATGTGGTAGGCATTAAGGTTTAATTCAGGGAACTGGAGCACAGATCCAATTCCCTAGATCAAGAGCCCCTTACCAGCATCAAGGAGCCCTCCTTGAGGGGATATATGGTAACTCATACCGACAAACTGAAGTGATCATGGTCCCGAAAAAGAAAAACTTTCATCATCATTCACTCCATCACTGTCTTGCCAGAGGCGTACTTACACTACAGTTATAAAACTGCAACATTAACACCCCTCCTTCAGAGTGCAGACACTGTACTTTCCATCTCCAGGACTCAAGTCCGGCATGCCGGTTTCCCTGAATCCCTTCATAAATGTTACCTTGCTTACACTCCTACAGCACGTCAAGTTCTAAAAACTATTTGTCTCCTTTCACTCCTATCTAACACGCTCAAGCGTGCTTGCTCGAAGTCCAAGCCCCTCTTACAGAAAACCTCCTTTACACCTACCCCCCCAACCTTTCCTAGGCCAACCCCTACCCCAACTTCCCTCCACTACAGATTTCTACATCATCGAAGTCATTCTATTTTGTTTCATCCTCTCTGCAGGTCCGAACCACCACAACCTCTCCTCAGCCCTCTGGATAATAGTTCTGGTAATCCCGCACCTCCTCCTAATTTCCAAACTACGAATTCTCTGCATTATATTCACACCACACATTGCCCTCAGACATGACATCTCCACTGCCTCCAGCCATCTTGTTGCAACATTCTCCACCCATGCTTCACACCCATATAAGAGCGCTGGTATAACTATACTCTCATGCACTCCCCTCTTTGCTTCCATGGACACAGTTCTTTGTCTCCACAGACTCCCAAGTGCACTATCAATTCTATGATTCACCTCATCCTTCATAGACCCATCTGCTGACACGTCCACTCCTAAATATCTGAATACATTCACCCCCTCCATACTCTCTCCTTCCAATCTGATATCCTATCTTTCGTCACCTAATTTTATCGTCACTTTACTCTTTCCTATATTCACTTTTAATTTTCTTCTTTTACATGCCCTGCCAAACTCATCCACCAATCTCTGCAACTTCTCTTCAGAATCTCCCAAAAGCACAGTGCCATCAGCAAAGTGCAACTGTGACAACTCCCACTCTGAGTTAGATTCTTTATCTTTTAACCCCGCAAATCTTGCCAACCCAACACCCGAGTATTCACTTCTCTTACAACCCCATCAATATATATATATATATATATTATATATATATAATATATATATATATATATATATATATATATATATATATATATCGTATTTCCTTAAACCTCCTCCTCCTTTCTGCAACATTGCAAACTCCTGATGTGTTGATTGCAACACAAAACGCCTAGAGCTATTATTCGCCTCTCTCCGTGGTTTATACAAAGATAAACGAACAGGAGACAAGGAGAACCCATGGTTCAATTCACAAAAAAGAAAAGCCAAAACAGGGCATAAAACAGAAAATAATACACGCTAGACAACAAATGAACTCATTGCAATCAGGAGAAAACTAGAGCCGCATTTCGAAAACATCTTTGCAGCAAAAGCCGAAATTGTACCAAAGCTTTTCCACAACAGTAGCAGAAGGATGATGATGGTTTCATGAAGAACGAAATGATAAGAGCATCCGTCACAAGAAAAGTTTACATGGAGCTCATAAAGAACATTCTTAATATCTAGGTGACAAAAGAGGACACGTTATTAACGGTACACAGTATCGTCAAGTTGATGACTAAGGCAAAAGTGCAACATCTGGATAACTTTTAGATACCTTAGCTATTTTAACGACTCTCAGGTGTCTCTTATTCATCAACAACAGTGACTGTCGAACATATACAAAGAAGTCTAATCAGACATGATATCGCCTTGGATACTGAAGCAAGACGCAGCGGCCTATCTCAACTACTACTTCCTCAAATCTTTCATAATATTATCATCAAAAAAGCTAAACACAGCTTAATCCCTATTTCCAAGGGAGGAGCTAGACAGACTGCCGCACCAAATTATAGACCAAATGTCTTTCAAGTATTCCATGCAAGATGACACAGAAAATTATTCTATTGGAACACCAGTAGAACAATGCAGTTTAAGGAATGAAAAACATTGTCTCCTGAACCAAATACAACCCCGTGATAGATTAACAGATATTAGATAGGAAAGCGATGACTAAACGGACTGTATATTCCTTGATTTCTCAAAAGCTTCGGTCAGTAGTTCACACACAAAACGTTAACACCTGAACATTCAAAAAGGCCCCCTAAGGATACTTCCTGGGACCCTTACTAGCCCTGAAGTGCATTCAAGACCTTCAAGGAGAATTGAAACTATTAACTTTTTAACAGTCATAGAACATGTAAAAATTGTATACTGATTTAGAATGGTTGCTCGAATAATTTAACAAGTAGCTGCTAAAAGTCAAACTCTAATAAACTGAAAGTAAGACAAAAAAGGAGATAGGAAACTCTCTCCTCCCTAGGAAAAAGGATCATTGTCTACGTAGCAACCAGAGCACACATAAATCAAATAACATTAGCAGAGTGCACTATACTAAAAAATATAAGAAGGCCAATCAGCCCAAGGACTAGTGGAGGCTTGATCCTCCGATGCACCAGTCAAGGATCGGATAGGAGCTTAACCAAACAACCGCATGTAGGCGAGTAGCTCTTGGTGAGTACACCTAGGCGAGTACATCTAGTCGAGTACATTAAGGCAGGTAAATCTAGGCAAGTAAATCTAGGAGAGCACATCTAGGTGAGTACACCTACATGAGCACATCTAAATTTAGCAAATCTAGGCTCCTCTCCTCTATGTGCGGGTTGTTTGTGTATCCTGACGATCACAAAATCTTCTGCACTCTTACTCATACGTGGAACACACCTTGACCGTATAATCCAGGCAAATGCTTATTGTAACGTACGGAGCGCAGAACAGCAGCAGCCGTATCCTAAATGGCTTTACAAATGCAAGCACTAACGAATGTGATGTAATTTACACCCCCGGCGAACCTACATCTCATTAATTAAATCTGATAAAATTGTAAATTCCACAGCCGGCTCTGGCGCGCCCGCCTCCATAAAAATGATCAATACTGCATCAGGGTAAAAAGCTTTAATGCGAATTATATTGCAGATTTGAGCCATACTCTTTAATTTGCAAAAACTTACATCATGTAAGTTCAAAGGCATCAAAAATGAAAAGTCCCCTTTTTT